GGGCCTTTGGGGAGTGAGCGCTCGGGCCGGCCCGCCGGGGGCGCTCGCGCTGCGGGCAGCGGAGAAGCGGCGGGCGACGGGCCCGGTTCCAGACAGGCGGCCTTCAGCAGCCCCATGGTAAGTGCGAACGGCCGGCGGCGTCTTCCACGTCCCGGTGCGCGGTGGAAGAACAGCTTTGCGACCGCGGCAGAGCAGACTCCGTCTGTTCCCTGCCTTGGAAGACACTGCTAAGTGCAGCTCAGCGGAGCGACGCGCAGCATTAGAAGTATAAACAAACAGCGTCCCAGCATCCTGATTTTTGAAATAATTCGATGTTGAGAGGTAGCGTACCATTTCTGAAAAATGTATTTCTGGTCGGGGCCGATCATGTCTGAGCCGGAAGAAGTCTGCCTTGGTTTAAGCACCATGGCTCACTCCCACAACCAGCAAACCTTACCAGAGTTATCTCGGGGGCAGGTAAGCATGCCTAACAGATAGGGAAGTTCACAGGCTTTTTTTAAATGGCTCTGTAATCTCCCATATCCCACCAGACTTGTCCTCTTGCCTGTTCCTAGCCTCCAGAAGGGCATTTTCTAGTATTTTTATTTCAGAGAGCAACAGGATGTGTTCTTGAGTCCCAGTGGGAAGCGTCAGGAACTAACTGTCTAGTCACGCCCATTAACAAATCCATTTTACTACAGAAAAAAATAGAGGACCCTGCAGAAGGTGGGAAACCGAAGAAAGACACTTGTGTGATAGAATTAGAAATCAAAGCTTTGCTGCACTTAAATATTACTTCTCTATAAGCTTGACTTCCTTCCCCGCCTTTCACATTTTATTAACTCTTGCGTTTTACCAAGACAAGGATCCCCCAGCCCACGAGACTGGCAACACCTCTAAAATAGGTCACATAACAAGAATAAGTCAGCTTCGGGGAACCCTTATGTTGCTACATTGAATTTGTTGTATAATTTTCAGAGTAGAGACGTGATATGAGTAGACCCCAGGAATCTCATTTGTCCTGGGAAGGCCTTGAAGGGATCTGCTGGCTCTTTTCAAGTTGCTACCAATGTGCAATTGCAGCAAGTGGAGTATTGTTTTAGTCTGTCTCATTTCTGTGGCACAAAGGATATTTTATAAAATCTGTTATATGATATCTTCTCCATATGTCAAACTATGTCAAACTTCTAGGCTTAATTTTTCTCCAACTTTTGGAAAGAAAGAAGGAAAGAATGCACACAGTCCCTTGTCTACATTCATTCTGTGGCTATATTAGATATATATTTTTCTTCTGTTTTCTATGTATATGTTTTCTTCTATTCTCTCTTTTTACCTGTCCCTCTACTGAACTTTTACATTTTCCACCCACCTGGAAGTGAGCACATGTCAGCTCTTGTTTAGAAGGAAGTAGCGTG